ATCTGAAATGAGGCTTTGGCTTTTCTAATGAACTTCTCAGTGAGGCAACCACAATGCTTGGCATGCTTTTTCCCCTTGCAGTAGCATTCTACTTTAACACCATCATTAGTTGTCATTTGTTTTAATTTATGCAATTTGTCTAACTTTATAGCACAATTCTTCGCAACATAATTGCTGCACAGCAATACCTGACAAAGAGGGAAATGTTTCAAGGCAACATTCTCAGATGTGCCGTCTTCGTCTTAAATGTGGCATTCCACTTTCATTTGATCCCCGAACATGAGTTTGAATACCTCGTTAGCACCAAAACCTGCTGCTTTTGCAATACCTTCATATACTTTATCTTGACACAAATTGTCACTTCCCTTTTCACAGATGTGATAATAGTATAAAAGAGCACCAGTCAAGTAATTTCTGACAGCGTATGTGCAGTTTCAGCTAAAACTGCCTCTAGTCAGCCAAACCGCATCGCCACAGGTAACAGCCCTCTTCCAGCTCCCTAATTTTTTTTGATCCATATCTTGCATTTCCTTTCTGGCTTCCAAGCAAATGCCATCTAAAATGTCCTTCACATGTTCATACATCTCTTTAAGTGCCCCAAAAAAAAACACTTTCACTGACTGTATGCATTCCAAGGATGTGGTGAAACATTTTCTTATATATGGCATAAGATGCTCCAGAACAAATTGTAGCAGCTTGTAAAATCTTAGAAACAGCAGCGTCACCATTCTCCCTCTGAGATGAGGTTTCAAATTTGACATTGCAGCTACCACAGTTAGTAAGGCCAAAAGAGAGTGATGCTGCTCCCCCCAGTTCTATCAAGTTTACTTTCAATTTACCTTGACAATTGGTCTCCTGGCAAATTGAATATTGTTCCACAAATTTGACCAACTGTGTAGTCTCTGTGACAACCATGCAATTACTGGTAGCATCTATGTGCAAATTACTCTTGCAAGGAGTATCCAGTCTAAATGTGCAATCAGGTTCACCTGGAGTGGGTTTTTCATTTTCAGTGGGACCTAGAACATTGTCCTCTTCCTCAGAAGGTACTGGTTATTCAGTATAAATTTATAACAATGACAATGGAGTGACGGAACTAGTCTTGCCCCACCCCTTCGCTACCTGTGGAGGAAGGGTCTGGAGACACTCAAGGTAAAAATGTGTGCTGATGCAGATAAATTCATGTCCCAATCAGATTGCTCCAACCATGTGTAGGACAAGAAATCATGTGACCGAAGAGCTCTGTTTAAGACAAAAGAGGAAGAATGAGGACCAAATAAAGGAAGGAAGGAGCCTATAATGCTCCCTAGACTTCTTTCTCAAAGTTTAAGAGCAGTAATACTGTGCTGCTTACTACAACGACGCCATCACATTTATGACGTAATAATACTGTCACTTGTTTACAATAAAACGTCACAATAATAAGTAAAACTATGGCGCTCTGTGAAGAGTTGCTGCTCTCAAATTTGCAAGAGATGTCCAAGAGACTGTATCCTCATTTTTTCTTAGCTGCAAAGCATCTGTTTAAGCTGTCTTGACTGATCTGGTCTCCTCTGTCACATGACGTAGAGCCAACCACATATTCTATTTTCCACACACTTTTTGCGTGAGTGTCTCCAGACACTTCCTTCGCAGGTAGCGAAGGGGTGGGGCAAGACTATGACAGAGCACAACACTTGACATCAATTTTGTCACTCTGAAACATTTTGGTCATATAACTAGTTATAGCTTTTCATTTGCATAGAAACACAAGGTCAAACATGCCCACTTGTCAGAACAGTAATAATGTAATAATTTATCTTCATTAATCAGTGAATAATCCTAGAGGCCCATCATTGAAACATTTATGCCAGTAATTCTGCAGTAACGTGGAACTTTTCCCTGACATGCAAGAGCTACTAATATTTTATTTTTCATGTGATATACAGTAGAAGGCGAAAAAAAGATAAGTAGCAACAGTACTACACAGGTAGTGCGTAGGTAGTAATTTTACTTCGTTAATCTTCACTGCACTATGCCCAGGAAGTACTGTCAGTACCGCCCAGTCACATGTTCGATGTAACAAGCGTTCACGTGTTCTAGAGGCTCTAAAAGGACTTGAGGATGCTTCTCTTGGCTCTCTTTACTCTCAAAATTCATCTCTACTGTTGCTCTCTGCTTATAGAAGGCCGTTTAGGAGGCTCTTGCTCGATTCACTGTCAAACTACTATCCTGCTGCTGACCACGTGCACTACTACCAATGGTGTGCTTGCGCATGCCCAACAACGGTGCAGCAAACTACCTACTCAAAAGTAAAGTAGCTTTTTTTTGCCCTGTACTGTATATAAAAGCCTATTAGGGGCTTTCTCACATGCAGGATCATTGCCATGTAACACTGCATTACGAGTAAATTTAAAACTGTGCACAGAATATGTATCTAGAGAGAAATGATAAAAGGAGAAATGTAAAGAGGAATAGATTTTTGCCAAAAATGTCATAACTATTTACAAAAATTAAAGTAGCTTTACAAGACAATTAGGGTGACTCAATACATTTAACCCTGTTTCATTTTTTTGTTAATGAGAATGTTTAACATTTCTAACACTTAAAGACCAGTGGTTATGTGATGATATATGGGACAGAATTCCAAATAAATTATTTTAATAGCCATCAAGTCTTTTGTATCTACAAAAAGCTGTTTGAATGAAAAGATATCACAGGTGAATTTTTTAAAATCTACTCTCTGATTAAATTTACAAAAAACTACAGTATTTTCTTCATAATTTCTTTCCTGCACTGGATGGCAAAAAGGCAACTACATAAGCTATAGTTCCATAATTTTGATGCATTGCTCAAAATTTCTAATACAATATGAATTACAAAACTAACTTTAACTGGGGTTTTAAATTGACATGCATGAATAATCTATTGTTCCCATGGTACATGTATGCTTAAGAAAGTATACTAAAACTACAGATACTGCATAGCAGAATATAATTAATTTAGAATGTGCAATAAAAAATTAAATGGATAGTGGGTTAGCTAAAGTGACAGATATTTTTAGCAAAATCATTGAACTTACTGATATAAAGATCCAGACCAGGGGTCAATTACAAAAGCTCAATTACAATTACGCATTCAATTACACTCCTTTTGCAAGAATAGGCTCAATTACAGTTACATCAGTTACACCATGATAGTGTAATTTCAATTACATTTTCAATTATAATTACAATTTGATGTACATGTATTGTAACAAGATACTGCGCAGTTTTTACACTGTGCCTTAAAATTTACATCAGGTAGTGATTTGCTGTTATCAAATAAACCTATACACATTAGAGTACATTACAAACATTTCTTTGCGTATCTGTACATTTTGTAGTTAGGTAAGTCAAATATAACTGAAAGTGTACTTCAATTACTTAAGCTGAAGCTCAATTACAATTACACAATTGCAATTGTAATTGACCCTTCAATTATAATTACAATTGTAATTGACCCAGGTCTGAAAAGATCACATTACAGTAGTTGTTTAAAACTGATATATGTAATGATAGACTGTGTAACTGCTGACGCTCCTATCATCTGTGATTTTGCAGCATGGAGCATGGTGATTATCACTAAATAGCCATTTTTACTTCCTAATATTTATTCCAAAATTTATCTACAAATACGAATAGCCCGCCATTAAAAGGACATAACCCTGTCCGCTCTTTGTACACATACATTGTACTTCTTTTTTACACTGGATGATCCTTAATTACACTGAAAAAATCGCTTTTGAAGTTTTTTTGTACACTTCAAGAAAAATATTATCAAAAATACCCAAAATCTCTAAAAGTAAATCTGTGTATTTTGGATATGTAATCACAAACATGATCATATCACAAGTCAGACACTACGTAAAATTATTTATTAGGCAGGAGATTGCCCAGATAGGCACAATAGAAGTAACTAGGTTTGAGTCAAAATGCATGCAATGTACTTTAAATGTAATTTAAATAGGTGCTCACTAAAAATTATTTACATGCACAACAGGTAATGGTACATCGACTCTAGAAACAGTAACACAAGAATCACAATCTTTTAATTTCTTTTCTCTTCTCTAACAAAGGAAAGAAATAATAAAATAGCAAAGAAAAGTTTCTCAACAACTGCAACACTCGTCTAAAAACTGCTTGCACTAGAGGTGCTTATAAGATATCATTAAATGAAAGAAATCTATTATTATACAGGGAAAGAATAGTGTTCAAATGCACTATTTCCTTCCTACATGATGGTGTGATGATACACACTATACAATTTGACCTGTCTATGTAGGCAGAAATTAATGCCGAGCACTATTTTGTCCCTAAAATACTATAAGGAAGAATTAGAGCCTGGCTGCCTGCTGCACTATTTTGCCCCTACAATACTATAGGGAAGTATCAGTGCATTTTGCACTATTTTGTCCTACAATACTACAGGGTAGAATTAGTGCCTTATGCAATTTTTTTGTCCCTATAATATTACTGATAAGAATTACTGCCTGCTGCACTAGTGTACCCCTATTTTATTTTGGGAATTTATTTGAAAATTAGAATAGATGTTATTAACATAATTACACCTTTGCCAAGGCCATATCTATAAAAATAAGTGTTTTGATAGAGGGAGATGTGCGTGTTTAAGGTAATTTTAATGGAATGATGATGCTTTCGAAATTACTGAGATTATTTATCATTCAACTTGTGAAGAACCTAAATAACTTTGAAGTACCCCCTGTTTTTTATGGTTTACTTGTGTGCTACCATAACTATAGTATTACTAACATTAAAAAATAACTAACTGGTTTTAAATTTTACTTTTTGTTAACTTTAAAATATGTCATGCATTGTATATTATTTGTACTAAAAGAAAAGGCCCTCATGTCTTAAATGTAAGACATAAAAAAAGCGCTAAACAGATAATGAAGTTGTGTGAAGTGACATTACAATAGTCAAAGGAAGGGATAGTTTTGTGGGTAGTATTACAAAAGGAACATGGAGATAGAGGAAGATATGACTTTGCTAATGGAGAATGATTCTACAACTATTGGAGATCTTGATACTTATCATCTTTATCTATTCAAGATACCATCCCTAATAAGTGCTAGGAAGATTTTGACAACTGTAGTGACAATTGTGAAGACTGTAAACTGCCAAATTGTGTGAAGTGTTCATCAAATGTTAACAAAAGTGGCCACAATATCAAACCTCTTAACAATGAAGCTATAGATAGCTGCTTTGAAGGTAATTATAATTATTGAATTTTGTGATTTTAAAAATGAAACTATTGTTTAGATCTCAACTCAAGTTTTGATCACAATCATTTAGTTATTCAAGGCCTAGTAGCTAAACATTTCAAGCTCTCAAGTATTCATGAATGGGACATGAATGCAATAACAAGTGCTGTCAAAGGGAAAGACAGTTTTATAGTTCAACCAACTGGCACAGGAAAATCAATGTGCTATGTTATTCCACCATTACTTACTAGAAAGTTGGCCATTGTTATTTCACTGACAATAAGTCTCATGTGTGATCAAGTACATAAGATGGAAAAGCATGGCGTATTTGCTACATTCCTCAGTTCTGCTCAAAAGCACAACATATCAAATAACTTGCAGAAATACACTCATGTTTAGAATCTTTCTATGACAAGCAACAGCAATTACTACAAATCTTTCTATCAATGCCCAGAAACAAAGAAATGTCTCATTGCAGTGGATGAAGCTCATCTCATAAATTATTGGTAATCATTCAGGTATGCTACGGAGTCACCTCATTAGCTTTTACCCTTTAACTGGTTTATTTCATATGGAATTAATTTCATGTAGGGTCATATCATAATTAATTCCACCAAATAAAGATTAGCAAAATTTCAATTTGAGGCCATGATATAACAAGCTTTACTCCACACACACACACTTACATAGACACACTAGTAAATACCATATCCTATATGGGCACAAAAATGCCATTGTAAGATCTTGGAAGTGCTTCTTGCAAAAAAGTTGCCAAAAACTTTCTGTCCAAAAATCATCCATACAATAATTATATCATGGCTACAAAAAGTGGAAGTTTTTAATTTTAACTTATTGTTTTGTTAGAACTGAATATAGACTGCTTTTGCATCTAAAGTCTCATTTTCCTGGTACACCATTCATGGCATTAACAGCAACTGCCACTTCAGAAGTTAAGAAAAAGATTATGTCCATGATGATAGAACCAATACTCTAAACTTCAATGGTAACCAAGAGAAATATTTCACTCCATGCTCAAGAGTTAAAGAAAATGCCAAAGAAAGGTTAGTCCCAGCCTATACTCAAGCAGTCTGAAGCAGCTACATTTATATTATGCTATGTCATTTCAACAGGTACTACAGACTACTACACATCTATTGCTGACTATCTTGCTGAAGTAGTTGGTAACAATCGCTCCATTGTGTATACTAACTTTGTTAAAGATGTTGCTCCTTTGGCAATTGCTTTAAAAGTAAAAGGAATAAATAGTAGTAGCTACCATGGCAAAAATTTATCTAGCCACGACACATTGAAGATAATTGAGAATTGGTGTTTTTATTACTCTGACATACAAGCAAGTGTATCAAGCATTAATTCGGTGTATAATAACAAATTTATGTACAATTATAGCTAGTGGTGTGCACTTCTGCACTTGGAATGGGAATAGATGTTCCTAATATTGACTTGGTTGTTAAACTTGGTTGCTCACCTACAGTATATTGGAGGAATTACAAAAAATGATTACAATATAAGAATGTATTGTTGTTTTGTACGCTTAAAATTCATTTGAAATAACATCTCAAATATTAAAACTACCATTGCTGGTCAAAATAAACAAGAAGAATCAAAGTGACATATAATTGTGACCCGATATGAGAAAACCAGGCTATCTGCAGGAATTATCATTTTGAGCTATGGGCTCATAATCATGAAAAATCTTCACCTGGGCGAAATTCATTTTATCACATAAACATGTTATATAAACAAAATCCTTTCATTTGATAGCAAAATCAGGGGTAGCGAAGCCTTCCCTGCCCAGTTATAAGCCCTTCGACATTTTTACATTGATTGTGCACGGAGAATGTTACATGGAGCGACCACGGAATAAAAATGGAGGGCTTTAATGCGTCATTAGGTAACCATGGAGTTTTTATAGCAACTATTTAAAGTATAACAAAGACGAAGAAGACTACTTTTAAAACTATGGCTACAGAAAGAGACATTGCTCGCTTGTTAAATGAAGAAATAGGTCCTCGAGACAGTGACTACGTTGCTTCAGTTCTTGGGGACTACTTTTGTGATGAAACTAGTGGTAAGCTTATTCATAACACTGTTTACATACAAACTGTGAATAGCAGTTAGCTATTACAACAATGACATTGCATCACCTGTATAATTGGACAATATTATTATATTAAACTTAGTTATACAGTGTATTTGTTAATTGATAGAGACAGACTATGAAGCAGTAGAAGATATGGAAGAAGAGGTAGAGGAAGGGAAAGAAGAAGAGAAAGAGACAAAAGATTGTGATGAAGATATTAATCCACCACTGTTTGATCTTGAGGTGGCTGTGAAACTACAAGTATGAGATCTTGATTTCGAATCAGCGATGCCTGATGCTCCAGCTACTTCAACTACTCACTCTTGTGGTGACATGAGGAAGGAAGACCTACAGGAGGAAGAAGAATTATCAAAGTTCTTTGAAAATGGATGTGGTTGCTCAGATAATTGCTACGTACTGTTCAGTCACTCTTACATAAAAACAAATAGATGTGACATACAAGCCATGGCAAAGCCTGTTCAAGAAATTGCTATTATGAGTCAAATGACAGCAACATCTACCATTGGGGGATTGTCGACTGGCAACCACAGGAGACAGAAAGAGAGAAAGAGGCAATTTTTTATGTTCATGCATCAAGGTCATAAGGTTTGTAACTATGAGTGACACAACACAAAATTAATTGTTTTCAACTAGATGTGTAGAGTAACATTTCGGAAGCTACATGCATGTGGCAAAAGCAGGTTTGAGGAAATCATGAAAAACTACAGAATGAATGGATTAATACCAAGGTATGAGACTTACAAATTAAATGTTATGTACTGAGTAATAAATAGAACATGATCCTGAGTGGTGTATCAGATATAGACGAAAATGATATTCATAATCCCGAGGGCGTAGCCTGAGGGATTATGAATATCATTTGAGTGTATATCTGATACACCCACAAGGAAAAGGTCATGTTCTATATGGCTTGTATAATGGGAAGCCATAAGAAGGAAAGGTTATGCGCATGCTCAGTAGCACGTGGTACAACTGTAAGGGACCAATATGGCTGAAGGAGGAGAGCCACGAGAAAAAGCAGCAAAAGAAGGGAATGAAAATGTGTAAAGGGCTCAATAAAGGTTAGCCTTCATTAGTGCTGATGAAATGGAAGAAATTAGTACAGGTTTTGAACCCTTGGACACTAATAGAGATATGAAAGTACTTACTCAACGGCGGTGTGGTGGTAAAAATGTTACTAGCAGTAAAGAATACTCTTTAGATGTTTCGAGAGGTACAGAATTAATCTCAAATTGACTAGTAGGAGCTACACTTGTTGATAAAAGGTCGTTGCGAAGACTGAAATCATTCTGGAATATAATGGGCATGCAATTCAATCAATCTTTGCAGAAATAAAGACTACTATTATATCAGTTTATTTACAAAATCTTTTATTAATAACATATTTTGCTGTTTTACAAATGACCTTTTGTTATCATTGTTATCACAACTGAACAAGCCAGCATTACTTCCGGTGAAATATATATATTGCACTGTCGGTGCCTTTAATCATAGCTATGTCACATCCTGGTAAATATGTATATTGCACCGGAATTGATCGTCTACCAGATATAAACCCAATGCGGTGCCTTTCATCTTATGGCTTCCCATGATACAAACTTTATTAGAGTTCACGGAAATGCTGGAAAGACACCAAACCATGCTTTAACTTATGATGATATTCTCCGCGTTGTTGCTTTCATCAGAAATTACGCTGAAGGCCATGGAATCAGTCTTCCTGGAAGAATACCTGGAATGAAAAGTTACGAGAATAAGAAGTTTTTACCATGCAGTACATCTAAAAGGCAGGTATACTTAGAGTATGTTGAATCATGTGAAGGGCTTTATGTCAAAGCATGTGCTGAAACAACATTCAACATGTTGTGGCGACGCTACCTGCCTTATATTGAAAAAATGAAGCCTATGTCTGACTTGTGTGCCACTTGTAAAGAGATAAGTGGACTGATTATAAGAAGTGCTAACATGCAATCAGATGAAAGGATAATTGAGGTAAGTCATTATTGTAATAACACAAGTATTATTTAGAATTTTCAGGCAATGCAAAAGGCACTAGATCACAGAAGTCTTGTCAAACAGGAAAGGGAGTACTATAAGGATGTATTAAAAGAGGCACAATTATTGTTAAAATGG